AGTGAGCTCATCAACAAGCTCTTCCATGCTGTTGAACAGGATTACTACAATCCTGAAGACTCCCTGCAACAGTAAGCAACACATCATTCATTGTGAATATGCCACACAATACTGACCCTCCCCCATCTCCACCAGGTTATTGTTTCTCTACCTTTGGGTCCCCCTCCTACAACACAGTCTGGATGAATGGACAAACAACTACAACACATTCAAGCGCCGCCTGGACAAGAAGAGTATGCTTCCAAGCCGTTGCAGTGCAGATTGGTGCTACACATACCCTGAGGAGCAAGGTGGAAAAAATGGATTGGTACCTGTTCCACCTGAAGCAGCCAACACATTACAGACAGCATTCTATCTGGATGGAGCTGAATTGATGAGGGTGACACCACCTTGTTTCTCAGAAGAAATAGGCAAGCTCGTTTGAGGGATAGAGGCACCAATCCCTGTTGTTGATATTCACAATGTCTGGGATGTATTCTCCTCCATCCTCTCTCTAATCAAATCATATGATAAATCTTGGCTCTCAAACCCTTCTAATGATTCTTCTCTGACCATTTCTTCTTGGGAATTTCATACAAACTGATACTTCATGTTATTCTAGTCTATCTATCACTAATATAACCTACAAATAATTTTATTCTCATGGGCTAAGCTTGGGTACTTCTGCTTTGCAGTGTTACTGGAACATGATCAGGGCTAACTGTTGAAATCTTTTAATCCACAGTGTCTTAAAAATGTATTGGCCTGTGTGAAACTTAATTCTATGAGCTTATGTATCCAAATGAGATCAAGCCATACTTTCTAAAAATCAACACATCAGGCACAGACTTGGTAGCCTAGTTGGTAAAGGCGGCACTTCTAGTATACACCCCGGACATTTCAATATCGCTGCGGCCTGCAGCATCACCTGCCAAATCAGTCCGCAGTTCAACCTCGCGCAACAGGTGCCTGTCAACTCCGCAGCGACACTTGCTGTCCTAATTTAACAGTAGCCAGCTTTCCTCAACTGATCATCAATAAAACCGACAGACTCAACAGAACGAACTGGCCAACATGAAGTTTTGCACCTGCTCTTGATGTGCAGCCACCACCTCGAGAAATCCGTCACAACCTTCAGGGATGTACATATCCGCCCAAAACTTTGCAAAACACTGAGTCGAGGAACAAAAATGAAATATTGAAGCCAAAGCCAACAATGCCCATTGCATCAACAACTCATCTTCCAAGAAATCCCATGAACCATCCTTGGAATCTGACAGCACTGAATATTCTGAAGATAATTCTGCGTTTCGTGGATTTGATGAAAATGAAGACAGTTTCCATCTCGGTGTGTTTTCTCTCAACAAAAGTGGATTGGGTTGAATCAAGAACTGAATGCTTTCTCTTATTTTATAGTTTATATAATCATGTTTGTCAGTTGGCTCCACATATTCTGTAAACTCAGCCACAAAAATTGCAAGACAGCAATAACCACCCTTTTCAACATTATAAAGGAGATTCTCAGACAATCATCAGCCAACCAATTGGTTCTGAAGATGCCACGCGATCCCCGGACTTGACTTTCAAGAGCCAGTGTGGACTCCAAACTAATCAAAACTATATGCTGTCGAGCATGCTTTAAACTCTACCCAGACGCTTGCAAGGCACCAATGTTCTGTACATACCAAGCCTTAGAATTAACACAGGCATGCAAAGAAGCACTCTTTATACAGAAGAAGACTCACGGAGGCATCAAAGATTTTGGTCTCTTTCCACCAGAGAAAAATTCAAATATCGTGCCAATAAATTGCTGCGTACCCCGATGCCTCTTAGTTTCTCAACCAATATCAACCTGGCTGACATGGTTGTTATCAAATCCTGACATTGAAAACTCAATTGACATGTGGACACATGAAATCAAAAAATCAAACAATGTACTCCTTGATGTACAAAACAGCAGGAATTGTCAAAACCTAGATTGGGACAACTCACCTGACTCCCTAAATTCAATTCTTTCCCTATTTGTCAACTGGTTCAACCCTCGTGGAAACAAAATCAGTGGGAAAGTCGAATCAACTGGTGTATTTGCATTCACTTTTCTAAATCTCCCTCCGTCCTTACAAAATAAAATTTCCAACATTTGTCTATCTGGTATCACCCCAGGGCCGCTCTCGCCAGATACAAGTTCTATCAACCATCTCTTGGCGCCAATAGTTGATGAGCTGATTACTCTAGATTAAGGAATTATGATCAACACCTTTCAACATCCAAATGGCCGCATGGTTTGTGTTTGATTGCTAGCGCTGAGTGGTGATCTTCCGGCAACTCAGAAGGTTGCTGGTTTTGCATCCGCAACAGCAACTCACTTCTGCTTGATGTGTCATGTCCGAAACAACCAACTAGCCAAACTAAAGATTGGACCCATTCGAGAGAAGTACGAGACACTGGCATCAGTAAAAAAGTCAATGGAGGCTGAATCTGCAAACGCACAAGATGCAATCCTCAAAGAGACGGGTGTACGCTGTTCCGAGGCCTCACATATTGGGATCCATCAAAGCATGTAGTTCTGGGTATAATGACAACTGGCTTGAAGGCGTGTTGCAGGCTCATTGGCGATATTGATGGAAGTTTGTGGCACAAAGTCAATCAAAACAACCAAAAAGAACACAACTCCGAAAGCAGGCTATTCGTAAGCGACAAAGACAAGGAATTGATGTGAACTCAACTAAAACAGCCTCGAGTTCAACCAAAGCAGACACGGAAGACACAGACCTTGTGCTTGGTGGAGGTGATGGGGGGGGGATTTTTTTCACAGGATGACATTACGTGATTTTTTCAAGCCATGATCAACGTAGTTCTGCCATCTGGGCTGGCTAAGCTTCCTACAAACCTGGGCGAGGAAAGACATGGTAAGCTGAAAGCCGCGCAATGGTATAGCTTGTTTGCCTACATCATCCTGCTGGTCATCTGGGACCTATATCTGGAAAATATCGAAAACATCAACACCCAGTCGACGCGAGCGAAGTTCATTATGAACAAAGCATACTTGATACAGTGTACAAATGTTCTCTTTGCACGCGAAATAACCGGGGCCCAAAACAATTTCTTTGAAAGCAACTACAAGAAGTACTGTGATTCGGTGGCCAGCCTCTTTGCTGATGTGAAGATACAACCAAATCATCATTGCTCCCTGCACATCCCCAATCAAATCAGAGCTTGGGGGCCTTTGCCTAGGGTGGCCAAATTCACTGGGGAGCGCCTAATTGGGTATTTTTCAAAATATTAAGACAAATAGTCTTCTTGTTAAGTGGAGCGTACAACATATGTATTACAAGATGTAGGAGTTTTCTCACATGTTCGACTATTAGATAAGATGAATGGGACGATGATGCGAAGGGGCTGCCAATTACAGTGTCTGATGGATGAGCCGGCGTACAAGGTGATGATTCAAGAGGAACCCACCAAGGGGAGATCATACAACCAAAAAAAAATCAAGTTAACCCATCAAATGTATGGCAAAATTTACAATTATCTCGTCAAGACTGATCCGTCAGGGATTCATAGGGACTCGGCCGGAAGGAGAAGTGCAGAGCAAATGATACATGGATCGGAAATACCACTGAGGTCCGTCCAATGTGATGGCTTCAAAGTGGCTACAACACAGCAAAATAACTGTGTTGTAGCCATGATTGATGGGAAGGTTAGGTATGGGATTGTGAAGCAGATCTATTCCTTGGAGGACCGTCACCATGAGGGCAGAAAGGTGATTGTTCTCTCCCCAATTTTTAACTTGTTCCCACAAAAATTCAATATTTCAACCTCAAGATTTGTATCTTTTCAAAAGTATTGTTGGATGTGTGGACCACAACAAAGCCCTAGTAGTCTCTTCTTCTGATTTTGTTTCTCTAGCTGCGTATCACTTCCTGCAATTGGTTACCTTTGGAATAAAAACAGGAGGTTCACCGGCAGCGGAGGGAGTGCAGGCGGGAGTTAAAGGGGGGTTTGGCTTTGGGGGCTCGAGCGGGCCTTGGAGGAGGATCGGGCGGACGAGAGTTGTTCCGGAGGGCGCTGCAGGGGGAAAGAAGGGCCGGCGGAGCGCC